CCATTGAAGCATTTTTTTTTTAATCAGGAAAAAAAGTGCCCAATGCGGGAATCGGACCCGGGTCGTAGTGGTCGGAAACCAACGGTTTAGACCATCCTTCTACCGACCCCCACCAGTGAGTACAAATAACCAAAGAGGCTCTAGCACATTTGTAAGTACAAGAGTCGAACATTTCTACATGTGTAGACATGTGGTGCACTTACACACACACACACAGTAAAAACATTATCCAACTACTAGCCAACATAATTGTCATCATTGGGGGTCGGTGGAAGGATGGTCTAAACCGTTGATTTGCAACTGCTACAACCCGGGATCGAATCCCGTATTGGGCGCTTTTTTTTCTAATTAAAAAAAATGCTTCATTGGCCTCCGATTCTTGCAAAGGTCCAACCCCAATAGCGAGTGCAAGTAACCAAAACGGGGCTATGGCACATTTGTAAGAGCAAAAGTCGAACTGCTTTTACCATGATTATCATGGCCTGTACCACGTGTACTAGGGATAATAAAAATAATAATAATATTTAAAAAATAAATTTCTGCAAATAAAGTTTGATTTTTATATCGTGGTACACCAAATATTTTAAAAATTAATCAATAATCAATTATATTACATATATTTTTATTCAGCAACTTTCCCTCTTTTTCAATGTCTCTCTTCTTTAATTGTTGTTAATAAGTTGCCAATTGTTTTGATCAAAATAAATTTCTATGGTCATCTCATGAGGTTTGTCTTTCCTCATTAGTCTACGTGGCAAGATAGACGCTTAGATAGTGCGAATAATTTTAAATGACCCCTAACACCTCTAAAATGTATACTGTAGCATCTATATATGTGAATATCAATTCAAGTTATAGACTCATCAATCTTTTTTCTTAAGTTTATTGTCCTGATTTTACATCTACTCACTGTCACTCTTTCCATATTTAAAAAAAGGCGATAGTGGGTCTTAGAAACGACAATAGACTTTTTTGAAATCATCTACAACTAATATGATAGTGATAACTAGTGATAAGTCTACAACTTAAATAGATTAAAATCTAACCTTTAATCATGGTATTCATTATATGCAAATATGTAATGCACATAGAGTAACAGCTCCCTAATAGAACAGATGAAATAATGCACCTGACGATACGGAATGGATAAATTAGAGATTTTAGGGGCCATTTAAAATTATTTGTGTCATCTATACGTTTATAGCTCATACGTCATAGCTCCCTACCTACATTGATTACAATAGGCTAATATAGTAATGTTTTAATAGAACAGATGAAATAATGTACCTTACTATACGGAATGGATAAATTTTGAGAATGAAAATAATTTCTGTTCTTGAAATTGAACCTTAATGGTGGCTTGTGCTATCTATCGAAAAAGATTTCAACCGAGAGTTGTTATATTTTTTTCCAAAATAACCTGACCATGAATATTTTTCTTGTTAAAACCCAATCCAAGCATACGTATACGTTTTGGTCTATTGGCCCTCGTCAGCATGGTACAGGTTTCATGCTACCGAAATCTTAAGGTTGCCATAGAGACTCCTTGACAAATCAAAGAAAATATATTTGAGGCTGAAGTTCTTGTATATATACAAAAAATGATTAATTAAAAAGGCATATATTGGATCAAAATATCATTTATTTTACCAATATTTCAGTTGGCTGAACGCTTAACTTTATCAAGTTGTAATAACATTTTGAAGTGTGTCAACAACAAACTCAGCGCCACATAACGTATGATATAATGATATGTTTTATAATAAAATAACAACTAGCCTACTTTTTCTTGAAAATAAAAGACACTTCGGCCAGTAAATCTTTTTATTACCTCGACGTTTCGACAAAAAGATTTTGTCCTCGTCAGGAACAAACAAAGGAGAATAATTTTTAACGCTTTGCCAAATGTTTTCATTTTTGTTTGCTCCTTACGAGGACAAAATATTTTTGTCGAGACAATAAAAAAATTTACTAGCCGAAGTATCTTTATTTTCAAGAAATATGAATGCCGGCTAGGCAGCCTTTATCTTTATGATAGCCTACTTTTATTATAGGCATTTATCTTCATGGACAAAACTTGAGGAAGTAAAAAGTCTTTAATGTTTCATTATTTTTTTAAGGAGACAGAGGTAATTTTGTTCAAACGTGTTAATCTCGTATGTCTTCAATAAAGGTCACTGTAATATCTTTCAGGATTTTCGTCTGATATACATGATAAAAGGTAAAACTTCCTTAGGTTTTGTCCATGAGTGTATATATATTTTTAAGGAGACAGAGACAATTTTGTTTACACATGGTAATCTCGTGTGTCTTAAATAAAGGTCACTGTAATATCTTTCATAGTTATTGTCTGAATCCAGATATACATGCTAAAATTACAGATTTCTTTAAGTTTTGTCCATGAGTGTAGTCATCTAGCTATTTAAAATGTAAATGTACTTTCCTACTACACTATATGATATGCGGTGAAGACACAAATACAGAACTTATTTTGATTCTCTATTGTTCATATAACTGTTGGTCTTGTATAGACTATCATTAAAGTTTCTTAGATTTGCTCATCTATTGGCCGTGTTTCTTATTCTTATGTTGATTGACAATCCTTGATGATATCAGTCTCTTGAATTTTTCTATATTCTCTAAGGCATCATATCGTAAGCAGTTTTCTTAGAACGTGTCTTAGACACAATTTTTATTTTCGATTATTCTATTTCTCATCAATAAGTTGTCTTCTATATGCAAATCTTTTTGAAAATTCCTAATTATAAATTGCAGACAATCACAAAAGTCTCTTTTCATTTTGTTTATCAATTGACCAGTTGTCTTATTTGGAAAAAAATATGCTCATTGATTCTTGATGTCAATCATTTAGATTTTTTCCTTTCGCTTCTTTTTTAAAGCATCACAGACCTATTATAGGCAAATTTGGCTAGACTTTAGTTCTGGGGAAATTTATTACTTATATGAATCACCAATGTAAGCCCGGAGTCACTGGAAGATATTTCAAGAAACAAAATTTTTTCTTGGCGACGCCTCATGATTTGGACCTCAACTTGCCTTGTAAATAAAACAAATACTAGGTATGAAGGAAAACACACAAGTAGATGGAAACATATATTTATGCTCCAGAAACCTCGGTTAGCTAAAGAAATAATGAATATAAATATATATAAGTTGTGTTATTATGGTATTCATGTGCCAAAAAAAGTCAGCTCTACCTTTAAATATGTGCTAGAACAATGCCTATTTTGGCTACCACCTTAGTAAAACATTAAAAGTGAATTTAAAGAATGAACCTCGACATCAGAGTTTGGAAAATTCAAATAAAATCGAACAACCAGTATACCATGGTTTCAGGCTAAGGTCCTCATCAGTACAGGGGTAGCTTCGATTTAGTAACATCCTATGGGAGAAATAATTAAATCGGATAAAAACATGTAATACAGGTTAGCTTTATCCTGATTTTACTAAACTAGTGGTTCCTTATCAACACCTTTACGCTTTGTACTGGGCTGATAAAAATATCATCGTTTTAATGCATATTTGAAGAGAGAGGTGCCACTTTTTCGGTATATATGTTTTGATAAAATATTTTGTTGAGACGAGAGATTAATTTGTTTGCTATTTGATATAGATAATTGATCATTTTTGCTTGAAATTTGGAATTTTGAACAAATAAACAGATGATATCCTGTCGACGTTTGTTATATTAAATATCTTACAGAAAGAAATATTATTAGTTTGCTTTTGGTATTTTAATCATTTTAACCACATATTTTAATCCTATAAACAAACAAAGACTTCTCCAACCAACAATGGACGTTACAACAAACATAGTTTATTCAACATATTCTACTTCAACTAGACATAGCCCACTTCAACCAATAATAGCCTACCTCAACCAAACATAACATATATATTCAAAAGTGTTATAGACGTGTATGATTCTTTTGAAATTTAAACAATTTCTACTGTCCTTACTGCAAGATGGCGCGCTAATGCATCAAAATAACATATATATTTAATTAAAAAGGCATATATTGGATCAAAATATAATTTATATTTTACCAATATTTCAATTGGCTGAACGCCAACCTTTATCATGGTGTTATAACATATTTATTGTGTGTCAACAACAAATATATATATTTAAACACCATTTTATTTTAATTATATATATTAAAACAACATTAATATTTAAACAACAAATATCAACAACATATATATATTTAAAATATAGTTTACAAATTATAAAATAACTGTTCCAATTCTATAATATAGTGTATTTGAGGCGCGCTTCAAAGAAAGATAGAGTGTCTCAGAATGCTTGAAAGTGAATTACACCCATGGACAAAACTTAAGGAATAGTTGACATCAAAGACTTTCCACTTTTTAAGTTTTGTCTATGAGTGTATGAGTAATGTGTGTCGACTGAGGAGGAACGTGTCTGTCGGAACCACACAGATATGTATCTTATTTATAAACTCTCTGAAATGTAATTCTGGTTGATATTCCAAGTTACGATCCATCGTCGACTTACTTTCTGCAGAGGCCAGCAGCAGGCTGGGGGAGGATGCGGCCAATCCCCCCGTAGCCAGCCGTGTTGGACTGGCACGACGCAGTTCTTGTTCTTTCTGCTGCTGCTGATATGTGAAGGACTCCATCGTCACCTGCACAGGACAGTTCTCTCATCACTGGGTAAAATATATCAGTGGGAACATTCTAGAGTACAGAAGTACAGATTATATTTAAACATAACATTATAAACGTTATGAAAAAGGCATTTCTTTATCGTGAAACTGAAATTTGCTGATGGCTTGCGCCATCTATCGGAATAAATATCAACTATTCTAATACGAAAATTGCAATTATACCGCGAATGTTTCTTTTGAACGAAAAATCGAAATTTATTTTATGGAGAAATAGCGATTATTTCTAACCTTTAGGATGAAGTATGATAGGATGAATTGTGAAGAGTAATGATAAACGGAAAAATAAAAGTGTCCAGGGATAGGAATCGAACCCACAGTGTTCCGCTTACCGGGCAGATGCCATGTCCACTAGGCAAATAGACAACTATTCTCGATGATTTCTAATTATTCCAGAATTGACCGATTACCCATTCTTGATTAATCAATAAAAGCTTCTTTTTTTTTTGGTCGTTGAGGTACAGCTTGCACCACGCTGATGAGGGCCAACATCCCGAAACGCGTACATGGTTAGCTTTTCTTGATTAATCAAGAATGGGTGATTGGCCAATTCTGGAATAATTAGAAATCAACGAGAATAGTTGATATTTATTCCGATAGATGGCGCAAGCCATCAGCAACTTTCAGTTGCACAATAAGAAGATGCCTTTTTCATAATTTATGCACTTTATCCCAGTACAATATCACATTTGTACTATTTTTTCACATTATAAAAGATGATAAGAAAGAGAGGGGATAACGCAGCAGATGTCAAAGAGGTAAAAACTGGGAAGAGAACTTTAAAAA